ATAAATCTAAATTATAATTAGAAGATCAAAGAAGAAAAAACGCTTTAATTGAATTCATAGGATAGTTGAAGAAAATTTAATTATATTTAGATTTCTGAATATCCTTGTGACTTTTTGCAATGTATAATTTGTAATTATAGGATAAATTACTTTCGTGATTACGTAATAGCTATATATTTTATAATAACTGAAATATTCACTGAAATAGAATTGACCTATTCGTCGAATTTATGTTAGCAGCCCGATAAAAATATAAAAATATATCTTGTTCAAACATTTGGTATAATAAATTATGCCCAGTGCAAATCGTAAAACGATCGTATAAACTGCGTTTCTAAATTATCGACGCAAAATTATTTCCAAACACGTAGAAAACCGTGATGCAGATCGACGCGAGTTACAGCGAGCATTTTGTAAATTTTCGGGCAAGAGATTGCCCGAGATAAACGATAAATAGAAATCACTGTATCACAGAAATATTAAATTAACATTCCTTTTTTCGCCTTATTTCAAATTATGTATTTCGTTTCGTTGGAAAAATTGGCTCCTATCGATCGAGTCGAACGAAGACACACAAGGGAAATCGATAAGTCAATAATTGCACGTTACAAATTTGTTCAATCAATCGATGTTAGATTAAATAATTATTATCACTCACCATTCTGATGTAACTGTTTATCATCTCGGTCAATTGTGGAGCTCTGTTCGTGTGCAAGGGTAGCCTGACTCCTGACGCAATTTGCATTACACAGACACCGATCCGTGGAGAACCGACAGAGACGATTTCCTCCAAAGGTAAAGTTTCCAATATGACTAAATCGCCGTTCGGTGTACGTTTGATGAGTCTGAGACCGTGATGAGAGATCGCCACGTGTTGGGTTTCTGGATGCTGAGGTCCGATCTGAATAAAAAAATAATTAAAATTATTTTTATTATACACACTGAGTGTACCAATTGAATGAGATATATTTTAGAGGCAAAGAAAATGGCGCGGACAATAGAAGAAATAATCTAATAGTTATTTATACGTAGCTTTTAACGATTTTTTTCGCTCCTTAATGCCTCGAAGACAAGCTTAGATTAATAATAACTCCAACAATGGAGCGATTCTAATTTAACCATTTTTTTCTCGTGACTTTCCTCTCCGGAATGCCACGTATGATTAGCCATGTATAAACACCATATATGGTAATTATTTACAAACACACGTAGTTTACAATCGATGTGGAACGAAAGGAATGGTGTATCGAGTTTAGTTTCGGTTCACTTTTATCGAGAAATTCTAATTCGCTCACCGACACAGGGAATATCCTGGCGAAATACAGTGGCCACTGTTTGGCCATGTCAACCACGTTCTTTTTAATAGTGATCTTGTGCTGAGTGCTCTGCAGATTGTCGAGAGTGACGCCATAATTGTCCAACATCTTGAGCATATTCTGCCTGTCCTCCTTCGTGATTCGAATACTGGACGTGGCGAGCACGTCATAAGCGACTTGGCAAAACACCAAATGAAGGGCCAAGGGGCTGTTCAACGTTTCGTTAGGCGCGAACACTTCCTTCTTCACCCTCAACGTCCACGTCACCCTGTTGTACGTGAAGTGAGCCGTGGACGTTTGCGGATAGAGCTTCGTGTTCACCACCTCTTGGACCTTCTCTATTTCCGGTTTCTCCGCAGGTGGCAGCACCGGCCTCAGAAACTCGGGCCATTCCTCGATCTCGATCCTTTCCATTTTGTCGGTGCGGTGGGTGGATGCGACGCTCGATCTCCTGTCGAGATCACGGTCCAATTTCTTGAAACTTTGACGAGCGGCCGCGAACGATTCCCTCGTGTTGGGCATCAGGCCGAACTCTCTGGACGACGGCATGCCAAAGCTGTCCCTCGACTTTGGGGACACGTCTCTGGCCATTCCGAACGGGTCTCTCTTCGAGCTCGTGTTCTCGAATATATCTCTCGCGTATTTCGGGTCGAAAATGTCGGAGTTTAGGTCGCGGCGGGAGTCGAAGTCGGAACTTCTGTCCCTGGCGGAGCTCGCCATGTCCGTGCTGTCCTTTCCGTAAAAGTCTTTCTTTGGATCGGACAATCGTGACTTGTCGAAGTCGTTTCTGTACTCGTGGCTCTCTCTCAGATGCTGCTGGGACGCGAATATGTCTCTGCTCTGGCTGAACATGTCGCGCTGGCTCTTGGAAAAGTGGTCGAACGCCTCCGAATCCGGGGACGTTCTGAACGAATCTCGAGCCTTGGGCTCGACTGGGGCCGGGGGTGATCTCGGTTGTGGCACTCCGGATTGACTGAGCGTGAAGAATATTCGAATTAGCATGGATGGAATATGATTAAATTAAATCGTCTTTAGTAAAAATTAAACGTGAGGAGACGTGTGGTATATTTCGAGAAGTATGATAAAAGTAATAAAATGGAAAATTAGCGAAAGGAAAAATTAAATTTCAATAGCGTGTGGACAGAGGAGAATACCTATTGCTGTACATGCTTCCGCCACGAGGACTAGGGGGTTGCGGAGGTGTGACCGGAAGCGGGGGCGGCACAGGCCTCTCCATTCTTTCGATCTGAGTCCTGACCACTTGCGCTTGAGTCATCATGTCGGTCGTGCCTTTCGAAGTAACGCTTTGCGTGTCATCGGCCGTGGACGCGTAATCGTCCCATCTTCCTCCTTCGAAATGTCAAACGGTTTATTATCCATCGAACCATTCATTTTCCAATCGCCATACGAATCTATAAACACTGTTGGGTAAGAAGAATTACCTAATTGCTGCTCGAGAAGAAGCTTTCTATTATCCTCCAAACGTTTCACTTTACCGTCCTCGCGAGGGAGGGCAGGTTTCTCGGTTGTCTTCGTCGATCTCACACTGTGATTCGCCGTCACTTTTTCCAATCTCTGCCTCATTTCCGAGCTCAGCTTCAGTTTTCCTATACTTCCTGGGGATGGCCTCTGTGCACCTACCTCCAACGCGGATCTGGAAAAGGTATCGATCGAATAAACGAGTCGCGAATCAATAATCTCGTAATTGATTCTCTATCGTTTTAATCATACTTGGACTTTTTCTTTTTCTTCTCTCCCTCCTCCTTGTATCCGTTCTCGTTTTTTGTGGAGACTGGAGGTGGGGCATGACTCACAACCGGCTTTTCGTTGGTTTCGACGATGTTCTCAATTTCGAATTCCTCCCATTCGACGCCACCCTCCGTGCTTGGCTCACCCTCGCCCTGATTGTACTCTTGATATTGGGGTGTGATTTTTCGTTGTTGCTGCTGTTGCCGCATTTTGAACTCTATAAAACTGTCTTGGCTTTGATTCTCGTTCGAGTCGCTAGGCGGAGGCCATCTGGAAAATAAACGAGAAGTATTGCCATATTGTGAGATGTGTACTTTTTTGTCTTTTTCTTTCAATTCTATTCGTATTCACCTCCATTTGCCAATTCGAACCGTCTTTGCTCTCCCATAAGGATCGAGGAAAGGCCTTGATTCGGACGGGTCGTGAGACTCCAAAGGTGGTGGCATGGGTGGCGGGGGTGGCACACCCTTGTTGTTGCTCGAATTCGACAGATTGCTGTCCAAACTGCTCTTACGATTCTTCAATTCGCTCAACACGTTCGTGAAGTTACTTTGCACGTTGCTTTTGTTCGAAGGGGAAGGCCTTTTCGCGTCTGTCGCGCTCGATGATTTCTTCGAGTCGGCCGCTTTCCTTTCGACACTGACCTTCCTCACCGCGTATTCCACGCTAGTCTTTCTAACGATTTCGGAATTCTTTCGAGGTGGACTTTGGGACCGATGAATCTGGGCCTTCACCGTCATCTCCTGCCGTTGATTATTGGTCGAAGACGCGGGTGCACCTTGCTTCTCGGTCGACCAAAGCTCACCGTCCTCCGGTTCTCGGAAGGAAACCTATTTTACAAATTTTACGTTTTATTCCCTCCGAGTTTGTTCCTTTGACAAAGGATTTTATCTTAATTTCATCTACATTTGCAAATTTCTAGATATTTTTTTCAATTGTTGTTTATAATAAGTAATATTTTACAAAGTGACGATTTACAAACATGCTCGAAATGATATTGTTCCGTGCTTTTGTATGTACAGTGCTGTGAACAATTGTAGATTCACTTGAGTTTTTCTG